GGTTAGTCATCTATAATAACCAAAAATAGTCATCTATAATAATAATCAAATTGTAGTAATATTAGGCATGTTCACAAGGTTAAACAGATATGTTTAGATAGATGGTCTTCAAACACTTCAGACACTGTATATGGCATTTAATATGTTTAATAACCTAAAGCTTCTCATGATAGTGAAACATGTCTGCTTCTGGCAGCACCGATTTACTTCAAGAGGAGTTGATGGGCAGCGAGGAACCTCTGGAAGGAGTTTGCTTTTTTCATGGCAAAAGCCAGTCATGTGGACAAAAAAGTGTCCTTGCTTTAGTTGCTACCAGTATACTGTTCAAACTGGACCAGCAGGATGCGAGAACTGCCAAACATTGCCAAGACAAGGTAGGACATGCTTCAAAATTCCCTGCTTCTCAAAAATGTCTGTAAGATATACTAAGCCTGTGGGCCAAAGTTGGATGCCCCAACATTACAGAGGAACCTTGGGTGACTGTCCGGGAAGCCAATTTGTCCCTGTTATGGGTAATACTACAACTCTCTGGGGTCTTTGATGGAATTGAAGACTAAATTGTTAAACTTACAGTTTTCCTTACTTTTTATAAAAGGTAAGTTAAATATAAAACTTCAGACCCACAAAGACAAGATAGATAATACAGTATTTTCTATAATTTTGCCAAATACAAATGGACTGGATGTTCTGACTGTAATTCCTACTTGGTAACTGTTTTTTGTTGTATATAATTGCACCATGTTGAAGTTAAAAACTTTCCTTTCTTGTTTAAACAAAGTGGGGAAATGCTGTGAAACAGTAATTGTACGCTGTTAGCATGTCTTACTCCTATTGGTTAATAAAGAGCTGACTAGTCTGTAGCTGGGCAGGAAGAAGCTAAGAATGCTGGGAAGACAAGGGCGGAGTAACGGGAGGGGAGATTCATAAGATGCAAATCGAGCGGCATGGGCGGTGCATACATGAGCTAAGCAAGTGTTGGGGCGGCACATAGATGAATAGAAATGGGCTAATTTAGGTTATAAGAGGTAGCTAAAAGCAAACCTGTGCTATCGGCCCAGTGTTTACAGATAATACGAAGCCTCCGAATGGTTATTTGGAAGAGGCTTTGGAGACACAGAGAAACTCCGCCTACACTACCCTTTGTCTGTCTCTATTGAATGGCCGTCCTTCTGTCCGTCTTCTTATCCTATCCATTGCCAATGTCTTTCTGAGTCAAACTTGCTGTGGGGAGGACAGGAAGACGTTTGTTTCCTCCACAGAGCCTTCTGGGATTGTGTTGAACAAAAAAGACCGAGAAAGCCACCATTCATTTGCCTTGTGAGAAGAAACGCTGGGCAGCACCCTGAAATTCATCTACGGGGATCATAGAAAACTAACAGGATAAGAAAAGGGAAATTGAGTATTTAAGTCATGACGCACCCCGCTATAATTATTCGTAAGTAATACCTGACGTAGCACATGTCCGTGTATGTGTGAGCGTCTTGGTCACCAGTGTGTGGCTCTATGGGAGCCATTGTAAGGAGGGAGACCTGTGAGAAAGAAGTTAGGTGACTGGGATGTACCTTGAATGGAGGATGGGGCTCTTGGCACCTGGTTTTCTGAATTTCCTTTCTGTGTATCTGTAATACGCTAGCTCCGCTACATGCCTGAAGCCACACGCCAAGGCACTGTGGAAACAAACTGTCTGAAGCTGTGGCCCCTCACATCATGACTTATCTTTCGTCTTAGGCATTTTGTCACAGAAAGAACACTAGCACACCACGATGAACCGTGTGGATACTGCCGTGTGATTTGTGGGGAAAAAGAAGCTATTTTGAATGCACGAGTCTGTTCGTCAGGAGAGTGGTGTACCAGAACCAAGACCCAAATTGTAGAGACATTCACCAGCTCCCAGAAGCACACAGCATTCCTGCATGACAAAAGGGGGTGGGAACAGGGAAACAAAAGCAGGGATGCCGAATTGAACAAGCCACAAGTCCTTTGTAGAGCAGGTATGAGTGTGGAGCACACATCCCCAGGCTCGTTTAACCCCAGGAAGAAACGCTGCTCGGATAACACATGACAGGCTCTTCAGCCTGGGATATCACCACAGGCGATTTCCTAGAGTGGGCAACGGGTAAGCAGTGAGGATCCTCACCAGTGTCTAAGGCTTTGATGCCCCTGGGCCCAACTCTGTCCCCAAGCACCCTGGGAATCACCCTCACGGCTTGCTATTAGCCAGTCCTGTCGGAGTGAATCACCAAACGCCTATGCAATTGCTGACATGGTCAGAGAGTCTTGATCATAAGTAGAGTAGGGAGAAGTCAGCGTCAAAAATAATGATGTGACTGACGATAAAGGAGTAAAGACCGACTCTTCTTGGACGTGAAAACAGTGCCCTGATTTGTCAAAGGGCCCATGTATATCTAGAGCATAATCAGCCTTTTTTTTGTTTTGTTTTGTTTTGTGTAGAGAGAAGCCTTTTCCTTGCCAGCCACTTTGTTTTTTCCCCACCAGTCGCCTGGGCTCTGCCGCGTTGTAGTCCCCAAATAACACACAAGATGCTATATTAATTATGAAGCTGTTGGCCTTGCTTGTTTCTTACTGGCTAGCTCTGACAAGTATTTATCCCATAATTGTTAATCTAAGTATTTCTCTTACCGGAGAAAAGTTCCAGACATCTTATTTCTCTGGCGGGCTACATCGTGACTCCCTGTGTTTCTCCTACCCAGAGTCCTCCTGGACTCCTAGTCCCACCTATCTTGCTTCCCTATTGGCCAACAGTGCTTTATTGACATAGACACAGGACTTCCCCATCATCTCCTCTTTTCTGTCTAAACAAAAAGAAAGGTCTTAACTTTAACATAGTCAAATTATATATAACAGAACAGCTATTAAGCAAGAACACAGTTACAATATTTTGTTCATCAACATTTAGCAAGATTTAAAGAAAATATCATCTATCCCATCCTTGTGAGTCCAAAGTCCTATATGTAACTTATGTTTTATCATAACTAAGGAAAACTATAACTATCTATTTTCAACTCCATCAAAGACCACAGAAGGATAATACATAAACACTAGGATTGACAGAGACATCTTGCTGCCTGGACAGTCATCTGAGGTTCCTCTGTAATGTTGGGACATCCATCTTCAGCTCATAGGCCACAGTGTATCCGGAAGACTTCCCAGCAAAGCAGGAAATTTAAAACTGTCCATCTGCATTGGCAGTCTGTCAGTCATTTTTCTGTGTCCTGCAGAAAGTCTCATAGACTCTTCCATGAAGCACGAACCCTGAAGGACTGTTTGAGTTCAGCAGTCACTTTCCTGTGGGTCCTGCATATCCAGTTTATACAGCAATAGTCAAGCAGTACAGGCAAGAGCAGTTTCTTGCCCAAATGGCTAATCTTGCCATGTCGAAAGCAAACTCCATAACGAGTTTCTTCAATGCCCATCTTCCTCTCAGATGTAATTGATGATGCCAGGAGCAGACATTTCTCATTATCAAGAAAAACACTAAACAATTTTAAATGCCATTTTCTGAAGGTCTTTGAAAGGTTTGAAGACTATCTATCTCAAATATATCTCTGTATATCTAGAAAACCTAACTTACCTACCTATAAGTTCTGACAATTATAAGTAACTATTTATAATCTGTATTTAATTATGCATTATGTTTTAAAAGATTAGTATAGACACAATACTTAATCAAGAGGAAAAATATATATATATCACAAAATTGACCTTGAATTTGTATCAATAAATGAAAACCATACCAATACAAAGTACTCATTTCCATACCATAATCCCCTTTTTTCTTTAAAAAGAGATTGGTTGCAATCATTAACAAATTATAAGCAACCCCATTCAAATGAAAACAAAGATTTATAAACAATATGGGGATTTGGAGGTTGCTCATTCCAAACTGCTTCGTGCTGGAAGGGGGCGCTGTTCAAACCATAGGGATCATGACAAAACTCAGAAACCTGTATAAGTCCTTATTTTCTGGGTCTGTAAGGGTGCATCATCCTAGCTGTCTCAATTGTTGGAACACCTGACCCACTGCTTCCGGGAGTCCTGGTACATCAAACCACAGAAGCCTGGAAGGAATCTCCAAAATGATGCTGCAATGATAAACGGCACACTTACTGAAAGTAAAGTAAGTATTTATTGTAGAAATTACTCATAAGAGACAAACAAGTAACCCAGATGAGCCGAGTAGTTTTCCACCGCCGGAAAGCTGGAAAAGAGGGCGAGACTCCTGCTGTTCAGTCTTTTATTCCTTCCTCCGTACACGCCCCTAGCAATGCCCAAAGTGGGCCTGGCTAGTGCCGTAGTTCACCGCCTATGTCCATATACATCTTTAGTCATGCCTAAAGTGGGTGTGGTTAGCGGTGCGGTAAACCGCCTCTGCCTCCCGAGTGCTGGGATTAAAGGCATACGCCACCACGGCCAGGCATAATCAAAGTCTTAATGCAATTAAAAGTTCAGGAGTTGCAGGGAAATACACAGTTATAGCCAAGAACACAGGATTCAGTAAGACACATTCAACATTTGTATCAGTTTTGTGATTTGACCTTGCCCCTCTGACTAAAGACATTCAGGGCTGACTCAAACGGGAACAGTTGACATTCACAAAGATAAATGAATACAATAGGCAAAGGGGATAGCCATTCTACAAATGTCACACATATGAGGCTATCTGAGTGGCCAAGGCTATGAATGTCTGGGGCAAAAACCAAATTCCACACACCGTGTGGTACCGGAACTGCTGAGACCCCAGTCAAGTTCTCCAAGCAGCAAGGGGAATGAATGGGTCACCCTCTGGGTCGCTGATGGAGCAGACAGAGGCAAGGAGCAGATGGAAGAGGGAGCAGCAGGGTTGGGCAGAGCTCTGACCAGCTCCCTGGGGGTGGGGCAAGGGCTGAAGACACACCCTCATCCCCGCCCTCAGAAACCCTTGTGACTCTCCCCTGCTCTGTGATGCAGGCCTGGCACTCTAGTCAAGCCCACCAACCCCCTCAGGATCAGTCACCTCAGGCAGCCATGCTGTTTACACTATGGAGAACATTCTCTCATCTCTCAATAGCCTCGCTGAGACATGGCTGGTCTTTGGCTCAGTTTCCTGTCATGTCGACCTCCACTACACCTTACTGAGTGGGCTGGGGCTGCTGCTTGTGTACGTCTGCTACCTGGTATTGAAACTGGCTGTACCTTCACTGTGGAAAAAGAAATGCACCCAAAAGGTAAGGAAGTGTGGTGAGTTCAAGAGAGAGTCTCCATTGGTGAGGTGCACTTCTGTTCTCTGGCTAAGGGATGAGCTTGGCTGTCTGAGGGGTGTCTGAGATGGAACACTGGGGGGGGGAGAGGAGAGGGGAGGAGAGAGGAGAGGGGAGGAGAGAGGAGAGGGGAGGAGAGAGGAGAGGGGAGGAGAGAGGAGAGGGGAGAGAGGGACGGAGCAGGGAGAAGAGACCCCTGTTCTAGTAGGGCATGAGAGGGATGCAGGAAGGACAAGGGTTTCTGTCTGGCGCCCACAGTACACCTTCCTATCTGTGTGGCTGAGGTTTCCAGGACAAAGACAAAGCTGGTTCTGGTGGCTTGGCTACACTCTTGTGTTCTCAGAATGAGGCCAGCCTCCCCTGACAGGTGATCTGTGATCTATCCCCACATCACATGATCCGTGATCCCCCACATACATCCCCCCATCACGTGTCCCTTCCCCCACTTCTTCCGTGCTGAACTGGGCAGGGTCACAGTGCTGAATGCTGGTGATGTCTCTGAAGAGAGCATGGAACCCAGTCTTTGACCCTAGGACTCATGAGCCTCAGGAGGAGCACTGGGGGAAACGCTGTCCTCGATAGAACACCACATTGTCCTTCAGTTTTCCACAGGAGGGGTGAAAATCAGTAGCCACTGCCGCCACTTACATTAAAATAAGCACGCCTCACTCTTCAGTGGACCTCAGGGTGTGCATGGGTAACGGAGAGCTCTGAGCATCTTGGGAAGAGCAACAGAACCGGTAAGTAAGACCATGAGCTCCTTCTCCCCTTGTTGTTAACAGCTGCAGGAGAAAGCCGAGGGAGCCAGGGAGTCACAGAAAGGTAGGTGTCTGCCTTTGTCCCCATGGCCCCAGGCTCCCCATCCTGTCCTCTCCGTGCAGTTACAGGTCTGTGATCTGAGGATATATATCACTTGCTATACACGTGGTCCCTTAGCCAGGAAGGAGCAACCCGTGAAGACAGTCAGACCCACGACACTTGTCTGAGTCCCCACCCCATTCCCTCGTGCTTGTGAGGCAGGGACAGTCTTGGGCAGTGGACACAGCCCCTCGGGGCTCCTGTGAGATGGGGAGGAGGGAGCAGTGGCTGCTTTGGAGCACGGGTCACATGTCCCCTGCCCTTGTGTCCGGGGCTTCATTCCCAGGAGCTCAGACCTGTGAGGCCATCACTGGCCAGTGTATTCTGCGGTGGTTTTGAGTATCACGTGGGGCAACACAGGCGGAGGGATTTGCAATCGGAGCATCACAGGCATGGACATTCTGAGCATCCTCAAAGACCACTTGCCGTTGCTCCTTAGTCCTTCTAGGGATGACTTAGCCTAATTGTTTTCTTCTAACTCTGCTTCTATGCAACCCTGGTCTACCTCTATCCCATCTAGTCCACGATCTTGCTTTTTTTTTTTTAAGGTGAGGGAACTTTCCAGAGAGCAGAGGAGAGAAGGAAGATGCAGACAGCCCAGCAAAGGTGAGGCCTTTACCTCTTTTCCTGGTTCCTCTCCTCTCCCCCCACCCCCATATATCTCTTGCTTCCAGGGATCCAAAGCATCCTGCCCTTGTCACGGGGAGGGGTAGACATAGGAACAGGGTGTGGGAGGAGGTTAGGGGACAGGTACGGACCGGGGAGGAGGTTAGCGGACAGGCACGGACTGGGGAGGAGGTTAGGGGACATGCACGGACCGGGGCGCAGTGTGAGTGCCCCCCACCCTTGTTTCCATATTGCCTGCCCCAACTGTCGCTTGAACTTCTGACCTCCTGCAGCCCCTTGGAAGAGCCGTATGGTGCCACTTGCAGGGACCGACTGCTGCATCCAGACCCCCTCTTCGACGTGTGCCACGGAACAGGTTGCGAGGTCAGCCATCTGCCCCCCCAGGCCGCCCTCGAAGATGGTGGCGCCTCTCATTCCCGCCCGGCTTCCACAGCTCCCGCGGCAGGGGCCTGCGACACGGCAAACCACCGGGGATGCCCGGTCACTCCGCAGGGGCCTTTGCCACTGGCCCCTTCCGTCCTCCGTCCTAAGCACTTTGCCCTGTTGGAAAGGTGGCTTTCCTCCTCACCACCGGGGTCGACTCCCACCTCGGGGCCTAGATTTCTACGGGACCCCATGCTGCCCCATGCACTTGTCTCGGTCACTCTTCCAACAGAGGGGGCACGAGGGGCAGAAGTGGCCCTCCCAGGGGAAACTGCTAGGCCTCCAGCCAGCAGACCCAGTGAGGTACTTGCTAACGACCCAAGGACCAAAGGCGCTGGCCAAGCCAGCCGGCCAGTGACAGACCCCTCCCAGCAGCGGCCTGCTGCTGGCCGCCTGTCTCCTTCAGATTTGGGGTACCCAGTCAACCAGCACCTCCCAGACTCCCCGGCTTCTCAAGCCTCGTTGCAGGGGGACCTTCCAGAGCCTGGCCACCTCTTGCCTCCCAACCCTGAGGCCCTGGCACGACTCAGAGGGCGGGACAAGAAGGAGGGCGATTTCCTCACGACAAAGGATAAGGACGAGAACAAAGAACCCTTTTCAAAGCCGTCCTATTTGGAGAGGCTGTCATGGGCAAAATCACGGGCTAAGGCACAGGAGCCGGCAGCCTCTCCTTCGGCAGGCAGCAAAGGGCCAGCAGCCTCTCCTTCGGCAGGTGGCAAAGGGCCAGCAGCCTCTCCTTCGGCAGGCGGCAAAGGGCCAGCAGCCTCTCCTTCGGCAGGCGGCAAAGGCGAGCCCGTGCGCCTGCAGGCCCCTCACTCGGAAGATGAGGCAGAGCCTAAACCCGCCCAGCTCTTCTGGGGCCCCCCCTCTCTGCACAGTGAGGCCTTGCCCCCGCCGGCCATGGCCTCATGCACCCATCCCTCCACGTTCAACAGTATGGCTGAAGCCTCCCTGGCTGACAGCTCCCCGCCCGTTACTCTCTCCTCCGCACCTCTGCCTGTGACTAAGAGTCAGTCACAGACCTGGCTGCAGACCCTCTCCCAGCAGCCTCATTCTCGACTGTGTGACCCTCCTGCCACCGGGGCTCCCACCCACCCTCAGGGCCACTCCCCGGTCCCTGTCTTGACCCTTTCTCCTCAGTCCCAGATCAGGATCTGCGGGGTGCGTTTTCACAGACCCCAGGGTGAAGCACGACCTCTTGGCCCACTTGAAACGCAGCACCTGGAATACAACGTCTTGAAAAAAGAGCAGGAGAGAGTCTGGGGCTTGCCCTCTTCGGTGCAAAAATCTCGGGACACGTTCTGTCCCTCACCTCCCAAGCTCTCCCTGGTGAGCCAGCCCTTCAAGTCCCACATGCCCAGGCCCATCCTTCTTGGAGACTTCCCCCTCACCGATGAGCTTCGTAAGAAGCTGGAGCACCACCTCCGGAAGAGACTCATCCAGCACCGCTGGGGGCTGCCCCACAGGATCAACGAGTCCCTGTCGCTCATGTGTCCTCAGTCAGAGCTGGTGGATTTCCCTGAGTCGGGGAGAAGCTGTGGCCTCTCATGGCTCTCTCTCTCTAAGGATCAGGAGAGCCAGGACTCACATGCCATCGTACTCAACGGGTCTGGAAAGTTTCACAGTGGGGCCTTGGAGAATCATGCCAGAGAGGAGGCTGAGGTCAAAGGGCAGACAGCGGACAGTCAAGATGTTGGCCAAAAAGGCCATGTGCAGGGTAACCCTGAGGAGGCCCCGGGGAGCAGTCCGCAATCCGACTTGAAAACAGACCACGAGCCTTGTGCAACCAGTCAGTCGAGCCTCTCAAAAGGGAGCCAGTGTCAGAAAGACTTTGCAGTTGCACTGGAACAACACCTCGACAAGAAAACGAGAGAAATCCTCGAGGGTCAGATGCCTAGCACTGTGAAAAGATCATGGCGTTCTGTCAAAGTGGCAGGACCCCCTCCTGAGACACCCCCCAGACTACTGAAAGATCTGGCACCCTTGGCACGTGAGGAGGACCCACTGAAAAAACACCAACATAGTTTGTTGATTAGTCCTAGCAAAGAAAAGATGTTGGAAGAGCACATTAAAACCTTTGGCAAGAGGATGACCTTTGGTCTTCCCCAAAGAGTTGAGGAATCCTTAGAGTCCTACAAGACAAGAGTGGAACCACCCCGCTCTCTCTCTCAGTTCCACGCTCCCTCCCACGCAGATCCTGCGGTGGATTCTGTCCAGTCCTCCAGGTTCCTGGAAAGCAGCAGCACTGGTAGAGACGGGATGCAGACATTGAATTTCACGCCCATCCAAGAAGTGTCTCTCCCTGCTTCCTGGCCTGTGAGCCAGGTGCAGCCGGCCTCTGAGAACAAGGAGGTGTTCACAGACAAAGGCACAGCTCAAAGTGGCAGGCAGAGCCCAGAGCTGCCCATGAGACCAGAAGATCCCACAGAAGAGAGACTGGCTTCCAGCACCAATGCACAGGGGCCTCAGGGGGAAAGGCTAAGCTGGAGAGCCGGTCCCATGGCTGAGGGGTCCACGGAGCCACTCAAGGGAGAGCCCACTAAGGTCTTGACATCCACCCAGGGCCCATGTTCCCCAGGGAGAGATTCGACTACATGTCAACCCCTGCAGGGAATGTCAGCCCCCTACAACCCTGGGACATCTGACTACAAAGCTCAGGTGTCCAGAGGAGTCGTGTTGCACTCAGAGAGCAGACCACCCTCAGCCTCAGGAGAAATGACTTCCAAGTGCCAGGGCCCCTCCAGTGGGGACATGGTGGCTTCTCAGGTGCTTCGGGTGCACTTGCCCACTGCGGGAGTCAGCATGGAGCCAGGGCGGGGCCCCTGGTTCCCTGCACATGAGTCAGACAAGTGCCAGAACCAGGAGTGTCCCCCAGCTGCCAAGAGAGAGTCCCCACTGGCAGCTGAGGCAGGAAAACTTGGTGGAGGGGATGCAGGCTTAGGGACATCCCAAACCAGAGGGAAGAGGCGCTCTGTTCAGGCCAGGGCACCAGAGGAAACGCATGGACACACAGCCTCCCCGGCACTGTCACCTAAGGGGCAGCCTCCGGAAAATCATTTCACCAGCCAGGTGAAATGCTTCTTGCAGTGGATGTCCCCTGGACAAAAACACAAAGGGCAGGAGAGGTCCCTGGCCAAGGGCAGCTCCCCATCACCACCTGTGAAGGTCTCAAGCCTCATCAAAGGCAGATGCGATTTTTATAGGAGCATTGAAGCTCAGAAATGTGTGAGAGACCCCGGGGTGATCCTCAGGAAACCACTGGGACACAGGCATGGGACAGTCATCCCCTGTCCGCAGGCACCTGCGCCTCCCCCCGTGGGGTCTGGAGAAACTCAGCAGAAGGAACAGAGGCGTGGCTCCTGCTGCCAAGCTGCCTGCTCCCAAGTGCAAAAGGCTGAGTCCTGCAGCCCAGGAGAAGGGCAGACAGCCCCTAAGAGGTGTGGCGTTGCAGGAAAAGCTGAGATGGTCATCTCCCCCATGCGTGCTTCACAGGGAATCCGAGTCCCGCCCAAGTCCTGTCTGTAGGCGTCAAGCTGGCCAGGGTGTCACCGCTGCCCTTCTCCTCTGTGTTGAAGGCAATATTGGGAGGTCCGTTACCATCACCCATGCAAATGGATCATCTAGATTTCCTGCAGAATATGTTTTCTACCCAACAATAGGTTTTCCTTTGCTGTCAGTGTTGATTTACCCAATAAATTTACTTAAAGTGTGTGTGTGTGTGTGTGTGTGTGTGCGTGTGTGTGTGTGTGTGCGCGTGTGTGTGTGCGTGTGTGTGTGCGTGTGTGTGTGCGTGTGTGTGTGCGTGTGTGTGTGCGTGTGTGTGCGCGTGTGTGTGTGTGCGTGTGTGTGTGCGTGTGTGTGCGTGTGTGTGCGTGTGTGTGTGTGCGCGTGTGCGTGTGTGTGTGTGCGTGTGTGTGCGTGTGTGTGTGTGTCCGTGTGTGTGTGCGTGTGTGTGTGCGTGCGTGTGTGTGCGTGTGTGTGTGTGTGTGTGCGTGTGTGTGTGTGTGCGTGTGTGTGCGTGTGTGTGTGTGTGTGCGTGTGTGTGTGTGCGTGTGTGTGTTGTCTTGCGTATGGCATGTGTTAGCACCAGAGCTGGACTCAGGGAAAGGTCCCAGCCACTTCAGCTTTTACTTTTCTTCTTCCCCTCTGTGCTTCTTCTCAAAGCTGAGCCATTTCCTGAGCCAAAAAGAGATTCTTCAGTCCCTTAGCTCACAGTCCTCTTCCTCTCAGACTTTTCCCACATTCTTGAGACCAGTGGCCCCCTAGCATGAAGGCATCCTCGTCTGACCAGGGCAGGTTGGTTTCTTAGAGCAAAGGGACTTAGTCACGCCCAAGAGCCAGTTGTCAGCGATCCGATTCCGTGTGGCTGCCGGTTCTCCGATGTCTACCGTCTCTTGCTGCAGAGGATCCCATGCGATCAAAGGTGGAGTCCAGGAAAAGAGCATCTGGGTGTCCTTAAAGCAAGTCCCACGGGCAGCTTGTTGAGGTCATTGGGTTACTGGTGGCCCGTATATAAGGAACGCTATAAGGAACGGAGCGTGCGCGTGCACGCTGCATAGAGAGTTGGGTTAAGAGGGAGGAGAGGACATTTGAGTGGAAATGATGAGGTGTAAGACACACGGAGGACTGGAGGGCCGGGGAGTGGGGGGGGCTGGGAGACGGGACAGGGTGTATACTGGGGGTGGGGGAGGGCTAACATGATTGGTTAGTACCCTGTGGTGAGGAAAGACGTGTGGCTTGACGGCAGTCTGGGGATGAGCCTGGGAATGACTCGGCTGCCCAGTCCAGTAGTTAAGCACCATGACCTGAGAGCACGATGGACTGGCCAGAGGAGACTGGGTCGGGAGACTGCAGGCATTAGGCAGCCCCAGCTCGTCAAGATGGTAGGATTTGCACACGCTAATTAAAAGTAGCGTAGCCGGGCGTTGGTGGCGCACGCCTTTAATCCCAGCACTCGAGAGGCAGAGGCAGGCGGATCTCTGTGAGTTCGAGGCCAGCCTGGTCTACAGCGCGAGTTCCAGGACAGCCTCCAACACAATACAGAGAAACCCTTTCTCGAAAAACCAAAAAAAAAAAAAGTAATAATAATAAAAGTAGCGTACCTGGAGAGGCGCTAACAGGAAGAAGGAAGTAACCCAGGCATGGGGGACGATGGGATAGGCATGACAGAGGTTACGTCTTCCTCAGACCCCCATCTCTTAGGACAGGACAAACTATCAAAATGTGGCCTCCCTAGGGTGTCTCCATAGGCTCTCGGGTGTGCAGAAACTGGAGGCAGGGGCAAGACGGTATTTGAGGAGGAGGTTGGACGAGGAGACTAGCAGCTATGCTGAAAGCAAGTCAGGAACCACGCTGGCCCAGCAGCCTCTTGTCAAATCGGCATCCTGAGCTCAGCTGAGCCTGAGCTTTCACAGAGGCCTTCCTGGCCCTCCGTCTGGATCAGCCCTCTGCCCACACCCAAGACTGCCGCCACCTCACCACGCACAGGGGCACTCTGAAGGCACTGCCACCTAGGGTGTTACTCATTCAGCTGGGTGGGCTCAAGCCAAGCCCTTCCCACTAGGAGAGTGGGCTCTGTCTGGAAGGGGACCAGGTCAGAGCCCATCTCTCCAGCAAAGCGTTTGCATCAAGATCGTAGCCTCTTCTCCAGAAGAGGGTAGGATTGACGACCATTTTGGTTTTGAAAATCATTTTCAGTTCAATGCTTCCAGGCTCTAGGTTTCCTATGCAGGGATTCATGGGCCCATTTTCTTTCTCTGGTTTCTGGAGACAGGGTGTCACAATGTAGCCTCGGCTGTCCTGGAACTCTGTGTAGACCAGGCTGGCCTCAAATTCACAGAGATCTGCCTGCCTCTGCCTCCTGTGCTAGGATTAAAGGTGTGTGCCACCACAATGACAGGCCCAGTTTTAGGGAAAGGATTTTGGCTCAAATCTGACAATTCTTTGCTTTTTTTACCAAAATAAATGACAAAAGCTGTGTGTGTGTGTGTGTGTGTGTGTGTGTGTGTGTGTTAAAGTAAGTTGGGTAGCTAGTCTGGGTGTCAGTGTATACTATAGTATGATGGGCCAGGTGGCTGTGTGTAGAGAGAAGACTTTTCCTTGCCAGCCGCTTTGGTTTTTCCCCACCAGTCACCTGGGCTCTGCCGCGTTGTAGTCCCCAAATAACACACAAGACGCTGTATTAATTATCAAGCTGTTGGCCTTGCTTGTTTCTTACTAGCTAGCTCTGACTTAAGTATTTATCCCATAATTGTTAATCTAAGTATGTCTCTTACCGGAGAAGTTTCCGGGCTTCTTACCCCTATGGCGGTTACATCGTGACTCCCTGTGTTTCTCCTACCCAGAGTCCTCCTGGACTCCTAGTCCCACCTATCTGGCTTCTCTATTGGCCAACAGTGCTTTATTGACATATACACAGGACGTCCCCCATCAGCTGTCGACTAGGGTAAGTTGGTGACCAGTCACTAGCAGGAGACAGGAAATGAGACAGACTGACAGGTAAACTGGCCACAGATGGGGAATCTAAGCTTGGCTGTCAGGCCGCCCTGGACCAGGGGGGGAGGTTGGGGAATGGAGATGGAGGAATGGCATATGAGGGCCAGTCACATAGCAGGGGACTGGGATGACTCTAGAGACAAGGGCCTCTGGGAGGCCGGCCAGCCAGGTACTAGAATCAACTGCAGAGCCGGACAAGCAGGCCACCGTAGGGTAAGACAGGCAGCCCCAACTGGCAGTATGTGATGGGACAGGACATACTTGGTGGCATATGGCCAGGTAGGCAAATGGCAGGCTAATGGGCCAAAGGAGGATGAATAGGGTAAGCTGAGGAACAGAGGGGTCACGGGCCGGGCAACCGCAATCTGGCTGAAGTGGGAGGGCAGGTACCCACGTGGACTAGGGCGAGCAATGGAGCAGGGCCGGCGAGCAGCAGGCAGGCGTGGCGAGCTGGCGAACCTGACCTCTGAGGTGTGGGGTGGTGCAAGCCAGGAGGAGACAGCAGCTAGCTCGGGTGGAGAGGCCGAGGAGCAAGGTCCGGGAGAAAGCGGCTATTGGCTGGCCGTGGAGCAGCGGCCTAGGCTGAGCCGGATGCACAGGAAAGCAGGGTGCATAGGCACCTGTTACCTTGGCAGACTGGGTAGACTAGGGTAGCCGGTAGGCCAGGTTATGGGTAGGTCTGCCGCAGGGTCTAGGGGACAACAGGGTACTTGATGGTATGGAGTGACGGAGAAGAGAAGTGTGCACTGGGGAATATGGCACTCTCGGATGGAGCAGAGCGGCGGGGCGGGGCGGGGGGGGGGGACCTGAACCAGGCCAAGCAGCACCGGATGCGGTGGGATTGCAGTGATGCGACTTGGGGGAAACCAGGCAGCCTCGCAGATGGGACCGCGCCAAGGTAACCTGAGAGACACGGGGGTCGGGTGGGGGGTGGGGGAGTCACGGTGACAGGCCAGGAGTCAGCCAGATGCTATGAGTGAGGGTAATTGTAGCCTGGCAGGCTTGGCAGAGGCAGTTACCAGGGTTAGTCAGAAGCCTGGCAGGGTGCTGTGGAGATGGGCTAGCTGCCTTTCTGTCAGCGCGACACAGACTCTCATCTGAGGGTGAGGAACTCCCAACTGAGAAGATGCCTCCGTACGATCAGTTATAGGCAAGATTGTAGGTCATTTCCTGAGTTGGTGATTGATGGGGGCGGTGTGGGGGCAGCCCATTGTGAGTGATGCCATTCCTGGGCTGGTGGTCCTGGGTTCTACAAGAAAGCAGGCTGACTGAGGCATGAGGAGCAAGCCAGTAGGCAGCATCCTCCACGGCCTCTGCATCTGCCCCTGCCTCCAGGCTCCCACTTGGTTTAAGTTCCTGCCTTGGCTCCCTCAGTGGGCTGTGACTTGGAGTGTCTAAGCCAAATAAACCATCTCTCCTCAGGGTTGGCTTAAGTCAAGTTTCATCCCAGCAATAGAAACCAGGACAATGGAGAACGACGGTTGTTTGGGGAGACGGCATGCTGATAGATAGGTCAGGTGCGGAACCAACGCCACGCAGCCCTGGGTGTCGACATCAAGTGCACTCCACACCCCAAGGGCAAGAACTCACATACCATGAAGGGTAGATGAAGGGAGGCGCGTGTCATGCCAGACAACAATCCTACAGGCGTCAGCACTTGGAGGACAGTTGTGTAAGTTATGACAGCAATGAGCCATACAGCTCGAAATCAGCCCCATGAGATGCTGACATTAGCAGGGGGCACAGACGAGCCTAAGAATGTGGGGGGGTCATTGGGTGTAATCCCTTCTGAGTGACATTGTCTATGTTTGTCATATAGTCTTACTTAAGCACACAACTTGAAAGGAAGGTGACATCCCAGGAAATGTTTCTAGCCCTGACAGCAGGGTGATGATTTTTCTCAGAATAGCATCACTCTAGACAGGCTAAAGAAATGGTCAGGGAGACGGGCTTTGGTGGCGCACACCTTTAATCCCAGCACTCGGGAGGCAGAGGCAGGCAGATCTCTGTGAGTTCGAGGCCAGCCTGGTCTACAGAGTGAGTTCCAGGACAGCCTCCAAAACAACAGAGAAACCCTGTCTGGAAAAACCAAAAAAAGAAATGGTCAGGGAGGAGAACTATTTCCCTGGGTGATTTTTCTAGAGGGCACAGCTCTAGCAGCAAGAACAGAATGGCAAGGTTTCTGACAGCCATTGAGAAGCACCTGTCACAGACTGTGTAAGCAGTGTCTGCTACTGTGACTACTTCCTAACCAGTCACCTGTAGCAACAGCTCCATAGTTTGCTGTAAACTGTCAAAATGCTCCATCCTCGTGGAATTAATTGTCCTTGTAGGTGACACATCCTACGGTAAGGAGATCTCTGATCTCCAGGATATGAAAGTCAGCGAGGAGGGCATGTGGGATGCCATATACTGGCAATGAGTCTCAGCCAAGAGCTAAGTAGCACCCCAGGTTCTTTGTGAGGGGCATCACACCCATTCTTAACAAGAGCCCAGGGAGCTGGGAAGGGGTGGCGCATGCCTTTAATTTCAGGAGTCAGAGGCAGGTGGATCTATGAGTTCAAAGTCAGCCTGGCCTACAGAGGGAGTTCCAGGATGGCCAAGGCTACCCAGAGAAACCCTGTCTCAAAAAGCCAAAATACCGAAACAAAACAAAAAACAATAGCCCAGAGAACCAGGTCACCTCTCAGAAGCACACGGGGGACGCAGCGAAAGTTGAATTTCCCTGAACACAAATCTCACGTCACCTAAAATCTACACTATGCTCAGCACACACAGCACACCATGCCCAGCACACACACAAGACACGACTTCATCAGAACATTTATTGGGGGCAATCAGTACCATTAATAAGAGATAGATTATTTCTGGGGAAGAAAACCTTTTCCACTGAAGTTCTGAGCCAGAATTTTCTGCTCACATAATCGGGACAAGTCTGCGAACACAGTCCCTACAGGCAGGGACGACGCTGCCCGAGGAACTTGCCCAACTCTCCTTGAGGGGAAATTTCGGTGCACCTCTGGCTGTGAAACCACACGCTTCTGGGGCTGCCTGTCTTCCACCCAACTCCTTTGACCAACAAAAGCTGTGGCCTGGTGGTAGGACCTGGGACTTGGCACTTTAGGGTAGACTGCTTGGTGGTGGAACAGACGCCCCTGGACTGGCTCTGCTGGGACCCAACCCTCTTTCTTTGGCTTAGTTTTCACAGGCTTGGTAGGAGTAGTTAAGGGCACACGGGAGCGCGTGGCATCTGCTGCACCATACCTATGCCCCAGTTGCTCCTTGGGGACCTTCCCAGGGTCTCTCATGGCTTTCTGAGCTATGGTGTTCCCGGGAAAGGTAGCTCTCCCCCTAAGTAGTTCTGGGTCCTGCGCTGGTGGTGAAGGAGAAGCGTCTTTTCTCTGCAACGTTTCCTGTCCTTTGCATTTTCTGTCAGGAGAAAGCCGCTGCAGAAGCTGTTTGAAGTGCTTTCTGAACTGGTGTTCAGGGGGAGTCTGTGCCTTCGCTGGCAGGGGCTGGGGGGGCTTCTCCCCGTGCCCCCCCTGGGTCAGGCTCTCCTGTGAATGGCAACTCTTCCTGCTGGCCTGTAATGTCCCAGGCCTTGCAGCCCCTGTCCCCAGCTCTTCCGTCTTCCATGGTGCAGGCCATAATTTCCTGGCAGATGAAGGGATGTCCTTGCTCTGGCCCTTGCCTAAGACGTGAGGAGGCTTCCAGGTCTCCTGCCGCCTTACCTGAGAAACACTCACGGGCCCCCTGGAAGGGCTCTGGCCACGTGTGGGGGAAGGTTTGCAAGTGAATTCGTCTGAGGCAGGTAGTTTGTCATTTGGGGGCCCTAGAACTTGGATGGGCAGCCTGCTTTCTGGTTTGAATTTCTCTTCCCTGGATACCCGACTATTATAGTCAGATATCTGACTTTCATGGGGACCTGATGTTTCCTTTAGGGCCCTTCCAGCTACCAGAGTACTTTGTACTTTTGCTGTATTCCCATCTGCCCCTTGGGTACTCTTGCCCTGGCTGGTGTTCAAGATCTTGGTAGGCTGTGATTCAAGACCACTGAGCTGCCCTCCTTTAACCGTGTTACTGACCTTGTTGGATACAAACGTGCTTTTGTCATTCACCTTTGTTCCTTGATGCCCCCGAACTGTTTTGCTGGGATACAGTCTCTTACCCAGTGACACAGGGCCAGCCTCGTTGGATATTCTGGGCACATCTTGGCTGTGTTTATTGCTCTCTGACTCTTCCAGGCTGGTGTTGTTTAAGACAATGGATGTCTGTTGCAGCACAGACTTGCTTTTGACATGTCCATCCTCCTTATCAGAAGGTGACTGTCTCTGAGCCTCACGCCCTTCCTTGCCCGCAATTGAAGTAAAAGGGAGAGGACGATTCCCTGATCTGGACACAGTGCCAGGTATCTGACGCTCATGTGTTTCAACGAGACGCCTGATCAAATGCTTTTGCAGGGCAGTTTCGATCTTTTTCCGACACTGGCTCACCTGTGAGGTCCCCGAAGGTTTGGTCGGCAGAATACGCGAGTGGAATCGTGGGTTTTCCTCACAGTCAGATTGCAGGCTATTATCTAGAGCGCCCTTGGAGTTACTCTGCAGATGTCTCTGGACAGTCTCTGAGCTCTGTCCTCCTGCCTCTGCCATTTTTCCCTCTGGAGGGAGACTCTCTGAACACCTCTCCTGGGAGCTTCCAGGTTGGTTCGGCACAGGGTCGTGTGGGTCTTTGCTGTCGTGGTGCCCAAAGAGAGAGACCCACGAGAACTCACAGCTGCTCACAGGTGACTCGGCAAAGTCAGGACTCGTCCACGGCTGAGACTTGAAGATCCTCTGGGGCAGGCCCCAGCGCTGTAGGATGAGCCTCTTTCGGAGGTGGTACTCAAGTTTCTTCCGGAATGCGTCAGTCAGGGGGAAGTTTCCAGGAGGAACGTGCTTGGGAGCGTGGGTCTTGGAGGAGCGCCTGACCAGCGAGGGCTTGGAAGGCAGGAGGCGAAACTCCTCCTGAGATTTTTGGGCTCCCGAGGGTAAAGCCCACACCCTCTCCCATCTCTCTGTCAGGATGCTGCACTCCAGGAGGTGGACTTCAGACTGCAGAAGAGCTTCGGTCTCTCCCTGGGACCTGTGAAAATACACCCCGCAGATCCTGATCTGAGACCGGGAGGAAGACAGTGGCGGCATTGGGATTGGAGGCTGAAGCTGGGCCTGGGTCTCGGCGAGCAGGACACCCAGGGACTGAGGCTGGCCCTCGGGCATGGACACAACTGTGGGGTGAGTCAGGGCTGAGGCGTCCGGGGCTCTGTTGAACCAGAAGCACGTGGAGGAGCAGTGAGCCGACAGCGTAGCGACAGTGTGCATGGACTCGCTGTGAAGGTACGGGAGACCCCAGAAGTGCTGTGGAGGCTTGGGTTCTAGCTGGTCTTCAGAGACTTGAGCCCCAGCGAGCCTCCGGCTCAGGCCTAGCTCACTGAGCCTGCCTCTGCCGCCCCCCAGAGGAAGGGAGCCTCCAGAGTTCTGCAGCTCAGACCGTGAGATTTCCTGCCAGGCCGCCAGGACTTTTTGGAAAGAGTCTGCTTTCCCTTCCTTGTCCTCTGGTGTAAGGATGTCAGCCTGACTCTTGTCTTGCCCGTCAAGCAGCGCCAGGACTCGGGAGTCGGGAAACGAGGGTTTCCCAGGCATTGTGAAATAGACTGAGGCTTGTCTCCCCGAAAAACCCTCAGAAGAGTGGGAGTTAACCAAGCATCCCGGCTGTGACGTGGAGAACCCCGGTGTGTCACCACGAGCTTCCCTGCTTGTTGAGGCTGTGGCGAACGGCTCTCGTGGGCCACCCTCCGCGGACGGAAGGGTTTCCAGTTGTGCAGACCCTTCCGTTTGAGGAGCGGCGGGCTGTGCCTCGGGAGGAGGATGAGGTGGGTTGTGGCCCAGCGGGAAGTCAGTGCTTGTGAGGACAGGCTCCGACGGCGGAGAGCCACCCTGTGGTGCACGCAAAAGTAGGTCTTCCAAGGGGGTGGCTTTGTTAGTTGAGGCGACGGAGGGGGAAGGAGGCGGAGGGGGAGGAGAAGGTGCAGGCGAAGGAGACGAGAGCGGACACCCTGAAGGACTCGGTGAGAGGGGAGGGGACGGGGTAAGCGAAGTCTCCGTCACGGAAGCCGTGGAAGCCGCGCTGGAGGCGGAGGCAGCGCCATCGTCCAGGGGGCCCCACGAGAGCAGACGACTGACCTTAGCCGTCGCCCCGTTGCACACGTCGCAGCAGGGATCCGGGCAAAGCGCTTGCCGAAAGTGGGAGGCATCATACAGCTGTCCTAAAGGGCTGGGGAAGACAGAATTCCAGGCGCGTGGTCAGGACCCTGTGCCTCCATAAGACAGGCCTGTAGCGCCAAGCCGGTAGAAAGCTGTCTTGGTTGTTAATTCATGTGGGAAGGCCCAAGCCCACTGAGAAGCACCGCCCTTAGACAGACGGCACTGGCCTGTACTAAAAAAAACAACAACTAAACTGAAGGTAAGTGCATCTAAGCGTTACTAACAAGCATCACTCTCTACGGTTACCACTTACTTCTTGGTTATGAAGAGAGTTCCTTGGTTGTAGGCAATGAACTCGCCTGCCTTCAAGGTCCTGCCTTGACTTCCCTCAACAACTGACCATGATCTGGATTTATAGGCTAAAGCAAAAACAAACAAACAAACAAACAAACAAAAAAACCCCTGCTCCTTAAAGGTACTTTTGGTTGAGGTGTTTTATCACACCAACAGCAACCAGACGAGGACAACCAGAATTCATAGAATGCATGGGCTGCAGGCACGTGTGGGGTGCAGACACCTGGAGCCTCTGTGCCTATTCCTTTTGCTCTGTCCTTGGATACCAGAGAGGCGGCATCCTCTCCCCATGACTCCAGTTTACACACTTATCCCTTTGGGTACCCCTCTCCCGTGACAACAGCAAGCTGCGCTAAGTTCCCAGGGTGCATCGACCTTGGGGTAGGGATGGAACAGGACCTGAAATAAAGGGAAAGTTGTTACCTTTGCACAACAGACAGCAGCTTCCTCCTCTCCTGTGCTTCTCTGTGGAAGAGTCTAAATTCTGGAAAGCGCGGGGACAAAGGACAGAGACAAGTGCGCGTCAGTCACCCAGCTCCTCTAAGGAAACACCTAGGCTATTACACACACGCAGTCTGAGAGCATCAAGAAACAGCAGACGCGACCAAGTTGCTCATTTATGAGGTCCCTTTGCGAGCGTCATCGCACTATGCACACCAGCAGAGGCTCACAAGCCGGGGTTCCCGAGAGATGTATGAGCCCCAGGTATGAAGCATGGGCATGACACCAGGAGGCAGCCTGGAAACAACCCACAGTCCTTCCTGGGCACCTCCTGGGCTCACTGCAGGGGTGAGTAGTGCAGGGGTGCAGGGCTGGTTCTCAAGTCTCCTGCGAGGGAGATAGTGGTGTCTGGTGACGTGGTATCCTCGCATCATGGGCCTGGACTCTCTTATGGAAATTACAGGAAAGGGAGATCCAGCTGTTGACACCCTAGAGGCGGGAGCCTACCTTTAAATGACGCTCTCCTCCCTTTTTTAGCTCTGCCCTGTTGCTGTGAACAAAAAGAAAAAGTTTTTTTCTGTTGTTTTTCCTAGAATGCCCAAGAATCCATTTAACCAAGAACATGATAACTTCCAGCCAAGTAAGATTAATTCCGATCTTTATTGTTTACTTTTTTTTTTTTAGATTTTATTTATTAATTACATATATACCAGATTGAATTGTAGATGGTTGTCAGCCACCATGTGGTTGCTGGGAATTGAACTCAAGACCTCTGGAAGAGCAGTCAGTGCTCTTAACCTCTGAGCCATCTCTCCAGCCCCTATTGTTTACTTTTAAAAGTGATAGATCTTTCGGTCCTTCCTTCTTTGAGAAACCAAAGGAGGATTTTCGTATGCAATAGTCACAGCTGGGAGCACCATTAAGAAGTCCCTGGCACGGCCGGGCTGTGGTGGTGCATGCCTTTAATCCCAGCACTCGGGAGGCAGGGGCAGATGGATCTCTGTGAGTTCGAGACCAAGCCTGGTTCACCAAGCGAGTTCCAGGACAGGCTCCAAAACAATACAGAGAAACCCTGTCTCGAAAACAAAAACAAACAAACAAACAAACAAACAAAAAGAAGTCCTGGGCACTGTGAGCAGCACAGACTAAAGTTAGAGTCACAGTGGCCGCCCTGGGGGACACTTTGTCCTGGGGACAGAGCTCTGCTCAGGTTCTGCTTAGAGGCCGTGGGAGGTCACCACTGCTCTCCCGCAGCACAACCTGGAGCGAGTGGAGACTGGAGACGAAGGAGCTAAGGGGACACGTGATGTGGGACAGGGCGTCGGGAGACACTGTCCTTCAGAGAACCTGACATCTGGAACTAAGCCAGTCAGACCAGGACTATGGACCGACACTGGACCATGGACACCCAGGGGGGAAGGAAACTTTAATTCCCCCCATCTCAGGCTCCATGCGTTCACACAGCGGCGTTCTCTCCTCTCCAGCGTCCTGCCCTAGCTCAGGCGCTGCTCCGAGGCCGCCGGGCTCAGTTCAATACCACAGGCGTGGAAACGGCGACGGCAAAAGAAGAGGCCGCCCTGGGAGCTCACCACACTGCCTCCTCACCTGTCTGACGTCTTGATGGTCCTGTGTGGGTGGGAATGGTTTCGGGATCAGGCGCCTCAGGTACAAGAGAAGCACACCTACTACGCTCAGAAAGACGCACTTGGGGTAAATGTCCACCAAGGCCGAGGAGAAGTGTCCAAAGCTCAGCCATGGTTCAGTAGCGCTATCCAGAAAGGAGAGGACCTTCTCCATAGTGGGAACGCCACGGGCTGCCTCTGCCTGAGGCAGCTGTGCTCTGAGGCCGCGTGGGCCTCCCTGTAGAGTCAGGCCTGCATCACAGAGCCAGGGAGAGAGAGAGTCACAGAGGGTTTGTGAGGTGGGGAGGAGGGTGAGCCCCTCCCGTCCTCCACCCCCTTCCCCAGCACGGCCCTCTGCCTGAGCCCGCTGCCCCCCCCCCCCGTTCCCCCTCACGCCACGTTCCACAGGGTTTATTCTGTGGCCAGGGCTTCACCTCAGCCCCCATTCACTGTCTGGGACTCTCGAGTCGGACTCTTGCAAGCCTCCCGCTCTAGGTATGACACGGCTGTCTTCCTGGAAATGTTTGCTGCTGTTTGGCGGACCTCGGCTGGACCAGTGTCCTTCCGCACACCTTATCCGCAGGACCATTTCCCCCTCCTCACCAAACTAGCCAAGGCGAAATCTCCTTGCCGCGCACACGTTTACTTTGTGAATACCCAAGGGCCAGCCTTAAGCTTGAGTCAGCCTGCGGGGCCTTCAGGGGCGCAGGGTAAAATCGTAAAGCTGTTGTAAATACGGGGTATGTAGAACTAAAACTCCCATCTACCTTTTGGGTATGATTATACAATTTTATTTATTTATTTATTTTTAGTGGTGTCGTAGTTGGAACGCCAGATGAGGGAGGAGTAGGCTAGTCATAGAGTCGGGTGGGGCACACCTGATGGTGGTGTTGGGGTGACAGGAGCAGAGGGCAGGCCGGCCAGCTGAAGAATCTCAGGGAACCCAGCAGGCTGGTGTGACGGTCCGTGGGTAGCTGGGAATTAAAGTCGGCTACACAGACCAGGATAAGGTGGGGATCCTGGTAGGCTAGCTGAATAGAAACTGGAGAACTTAGGTTTGCTGGCGGAAAGTGTAGGCTGGGCAAATGGTTTTTTTGTTTTGTTGTGTTGTGTTTTGTGGTTGGTTGCACCGGGTGGAGTTGAGCTGGCTGGGTAGGAGGGAAGTTGAGGGACAGGGGACAGTGTTGTCAGATCCTGGGAAAAGCAGACGACTACTGGATTGCTGGGGGGGCCGGGGGCTGGCAGGTCAGCAGGAAGTGGGCCAGGGTGAATGAGGACCAGGCTCACCGTCATGGTTGGCCGCTGCTGTGCGCTAAGCCGGGTTGGGGAACGAGAAGGAAGTGAAGGCTGCTGGGAAGCATAGACTGGCGTGCAGAGCCACAGGAGAAAGCAAGCCGGGTGTGTTGACCACGGGACGCCTTGTGTGGGGTCGGACGAGCTGGGGAGCATGGAGCATGGCAAGTTAGGAGGTGGCTGGTGGCCAGGTGGCAAGAACGTGCCATGGGTATAGGCTTAGGGGCCAAGGTAGGATGAGAGGCTAAGGGGGCCACAGGACGGGTGAGTTGGCCACGTAAGCATGTGTGTGTGGGGGTGCGGGACATGGTCTGCTGCATTGGCCAGGGTGGTTTGGGAACTGGCTTTCCTGGAAGATCAGGAAGGACGGGAAGGAGGGCAGGACGCAGGTGAGGTGAGGTTTGGCATGTTCTTGGAGTGCGCAGGTGGCGCGGGGAGAACCCGGCACACTGGACAGACTGGGGTGAGAAGGGAAGCAGCCAGGCTAAGCGGCCACTGCGTGACACACGCTGAAAGTGTGTCGGGGAACACGAGAGGCTGTGCAGACAGCAGAAGCAGGTAGGGCGAAGGCAGAAACTGCCCTTTAGAAGCTGAGGGGCAGAAGGCGGGGAGGAAGGTTGCAAAGGGCGGACGGGTGTCGGAGCTAGAGGAGGCATACCACAGCGAGCGAGTCTGGGCATAAGTGGGAGCCCCCTGTCCACTTAGCAGGGGCGATTACAGACCCGGATGAGGCTGGGAAAGGGGTCTGCACGTGGCCTGTGGTAAGGGTGCGTCGGGACTGGGGTGATCCGTGTGGACCCGGGCACTCTGGCGGCACTATTGTGACATTAGGGAAGGGAAGGTTGATAGGTCATGCGACATCACAGTCAAGGAACTTTGACACGAGAAAGCTCCATGGTGGGCCTAAGCTGAGGCAAGAAGTGACAGGAGACAGGCTCGTCGGCGCAGACTAGGGTGAGTCGTGGAAGCTGGCGGGCGGGCAGCTTAGGAGGATCACGAAGGCCTGGGTGCTACAGGGTCAGATACGGAACGGGTTGAACATGGTACTGTGGGGTAGCAGAGTGAACACTAGGGTTTAAGGAGGCATTTTGGGAATGGTCTCTCTCTCTCTCTCTCTCTCTCTCTCTCTCTCTCTCTCTCTCTCCTCTTTCCTGTCTCTCTCTCTCTCTCCCCCTCTCTCCCCCCCTCCTCCCCTCTCTCTCTCTTGCCCTCCCCTCCCCTCTCCTCCCCTCTCTCTCTCCTCCCTCTTGTGACTCTCCCTTCTCTAGCAACCATCAGCTGTGGTGGCTCCTAAGCCTCATCCGCACTGGAGTTGGGGCTGGTTGACCTTGGGGCTGGTTGATCTTGGGGCCGGTTGACCTTGGGGCCGGTTGACCTTGGGGCCGGTTGACCTTGGGGCCGGTTGACCTTGGGGCCGGTTGACCTTGGGGCCGGTTGACCTTGGGGCTGGTTGATCTTGGGTGGGTCTTGTGCACACAGTTGCAGTCACTGTGAGCTCATTTGTGCAACTGTGCTGTCGTGCCTGGCAAATGCTTCCCCCCTCTGGAGACCCCTCCCACTCTGGTCCTCACTGTCTTTCTACCCCTCTTCTGAAGTGATCTCTGAGTCTTGAGGGGGGAGAGGATGCCGAGCACCCCCACAGTCTCTTATTCTTTTCTTGTTGGACAGTTCTGCCTCATTTGTTGGGACAGAGACGTCCTACGTAGCTCTGGCTGTCCTGAAATTCACCATGCAGACCAGGCTGGCCTTGTACCTCATTTTTTTTTTGAGGCAGCTTCTCTCACTGAACCTGGGGCTCACCAATTTGGATAGACTATCATCTGCCCAGCACACACCGGAGGTCTTAGGCACAAGTCCAGCTTTTTGTGGGGGTGCTGGGAATCTGAATTCAGATCTTTGTGCTCACGTGGCAAGCATGCCACCCTTGGGTGACATCAGGAGAGCTGAGTTTGTTTCCACCTGACTAGCAGGTGCCAGATGTTGCCTCATTCACAGTTCTCTCAGGGCAGAGAAACAGCCGCACGCATGGAAGACTTTCCTCGGCAACACAGGAGGCAAGCTATGCTGTCTAGCATCCAGGAGTTTTGCAACTGTCTTGGACACCAGGTGGCATGAGCCTCCAGCCTTTTTCTCGGATACTGCAGTCAGCTCTTGCCCTTAAATCAATTGAATGAGGTGCTATCTTTTGGATCCGGATTATTCATCTCTGTATATCAGGACTCTGTTCAAGGCTTTCTGACCTTTGTAAACCTTCTTGATGTGGGTAGTTTCCTCTGTCCCTCAGGGTATGCTTGCAAAAACAAGGAGAAAGACACATCTCAAAGCTCTGAAGAGACAGGATGAGGTATAAACATGAAAACCCACCTGAAAGCCAGATGGTGGCGCACACCTTTAATCCCAGCACTCGGGAGGCAGAGGCAGGTGGATCTCTGTGAGTTCGAGGCCAGCCTGGTCTACAGAGCGAGTGCCAGGAGAGGCTCCAAAGCGACACAGAGAAACCCTGTCTTAAAAAAAAAAACCAAAGCAACAAAACAAAACAAAAATCCACTTGAATTCAAACTTGAAGTAAAACCAGCAGTATGTAGTTTTTCTAAGTTGAACTAAACCTGTTTAAGTTCCTGTATTAAATGTAGGATATCCAACCCTGGTCTTTCCTGGTCCCTTGATTTCTGTGTTCCACATTTACTATTGAATCTCAGGTTATGATTGGACAGTGCACTGCTTTGTCTTTCTCCAGCCTCCAACATAATGGGGCTCCATGATTATCCATCTTGCAGACATCGTTTGACCCCACTGCAAATCTTGCCGCTTTCCACAGGCGATCTGCACAAGACCACCTAATTTACTGCCAGTCAGGATCTGCTGTAGCTCCAAACCCTTCTTCCCCAGGGACACTCAGATATACTGTGACCACTGAGAGTCTGGTGAGCCCTGAATACTGTGTGCCTTGTGTCTCAGAGCTTCTGTTGGGACCAGAAAATGTGAAAATCACAAATAGCCTCTGAGGTCAAGAGTGCAAAAGTTAGCCGGGCAGTGGTGGCGCACGCCTTTAGTCCCAGCATGTGGGAGGCAGAGGCAGGCGGATCTCTGTGAGTTTAAGACCAGCCTGGTCTACAAGAGCTAGTTCCAGGACGGCCTCCAAAGCCACAGAGAAATCCTGCCTCAGGGGGGAAAAAAGAGTGCAAAAGTTTTCTAGATGATAGAGGTGGAAAATTAACTTTGATTCATTTTGGAGTCCACTCTGGCAGGAAGAAGAAACATCCACCAGGCATCCACTGGCCACAAGTAAACACCTAAAATTACACAGAGCAGGGCTCCCTAGGGAGGAGGTCCTCCTGTCATCTCGAAAACAACCTCCCTGTCACAATGAAGTCTCTAGCACGTGGCTAGTCGTCAGATGGGTGTCTCTTAAGACGGTTGAGATAGTTTGCTTCCTAGATGCTCTGCGAGGGAGGGTTATGTCTCATGGCTACCCCTAGTGTTTTTCTGAATGGAGACGAGTAGCTGAGTCTTAAACACAGCTTGCTCTCTCCACCTATTTCTGGGTGTGTGAAAAGCATCCCTGGGTTGGAAGCACAGGCCCTGAACCCCCAGGAGATGCTTTCCTACCGATGGTGTGACCCCTTCTCTCTGGTGAGTATGCCACCCTGAATGTACTAATAAGAGAAACCCAACTGTGTCAACCGCAATGCTCCCGTAGGCTTGGTTGTCCGTGCCGAAGGCCTTTACCATGTAATCTTGGGTCTGGGATGCAAAATAGAAATGGATGGGGGTCTGGCTGAGCCCCCAAAGTACCTGCTCCCTGCTTCCTAGAGGATGCAACGGTGTCAGTGCCATACCAGGCGGCGCCACGAGCGACTTTACCATTTCCTATGTCCCTTTTCTTTGGATGATTAAAACTTGTCGTTTGCTGGTTTAACCAGAACCCGGTTCACTTGCGTTTAAACACTTTGCTGTTGGAGACATGTATGTGGGGGGAGGTTGTTTCCCCTCGTTACTGGTGCCGCTGTGGCTTTAGGAACAGAATCCCAAGAAGGGTACAGAGTGGGGAAAGAATTCTACGGAGGTGCCAGCCATCCCGTCTCTGGCATCCACACACACACACACGTGCCGTTTCACGCGGAGTCAAACCACTCTTGCGGATTTGCTTCTAGCCGGTGAGGTGGCAGGAAAGGCTGGCATGTCATCTGCACTCGCACACCCACGGGCGTGTCTGCACTTGCAGTGTGTGACACATTGATGTCTCTGCCCATGCAGTAACACACTGGCGCTTCCGTCTTGCTAGCAAACCTCCCCCGACCCCCCCCCTCCACCGCCCCGGCTTTGATGAATCAAGCTACCGCATGGGGTGTACCCACGGTGCAAGACAGAAGGAGGCCGCCAGCCAACAGCCAGCCATGCGATCGATCGACAGCCTCAGCCGAATGGCCTTGAGGACCCCACCCTGCCAGGAGCTGATTAGTGAACACGCAAATGAGTTCTTTCCCTGTCAAACCTTCCAGTTCCAGCAGTGTCCAAGACCCCAAGGCAGAGACTGAGCCATTAAGTTAGGTTCTTAACCACTAAAATTGAAGGTACCCATGACAGCAGGAGGCGGTCAGTACATGCTGCAATCATTGTGACTTTGGATGACAAGTACACCAGACTAACACGGAACCTGGCAGCATCCCTCCGGGCTGTCTTCATGCTGAAAGAGGCTGCTGTGGTGACATCATAGCATTTTGCACTAGAAAGTCCATCTTGTCCCCCAGCTGCCAGACAGGAAGAGGTTGTGAGGGTGAGGGAGCGGCTCCTCCTCCCGATTCTGAGCTTTTGATTCCTCTCAAAAATAATCTTTATTCTCAAAGACTGTGAGGCCGTGCAGGACACCTCTCAGGAGATTGCTGTAGGGCCTTTTTGTCCTGCTAACGTCAAGAAGCTAGCAACCTGGAGACTTTTCTGGGGTGGGAAAGGAGGGCATCTCATTTTCAAGCTAAGAATAGGAAACAGTGGCAGTGCCAGAGAGAGCAACACGCCACCATAAAAGCCAGTTACTGGCCCCAGAGCAGCGCAGTCTACGGACACACACCTCACACGGAGACCGTGAAGGTCTACAGACACGCGCCTCACAGAATGACTTGCAGGCCTGCAGACACATGTGGCGATGTCTTGCTTGTACAAATAAAGCTTGTTTGAAGATCAGAGGACGGAGCTTGTCACTAGCTAACCGTAGAGGTCGGGTGGCCTCTATAGACTAACAGGCTGGGTGGAGAGAGGATGTAAGCGGGAAGAGAGGAATTCACTCTTTTCTGCTGGGAAGCTAATGAGGTAAAGGTGACTTTGGTTTGCTTCTCTCTGATCTCAGCATTTTCCTCTACACCCGCCTCCGAATTTTTATTATTTAGACCAATTAAGGACTCCGTTTATAGACACACACCTCACACAGTGACTGTTCAGATGCGAGACATTCAAGGCGGTACCCTTTAAGGACAGAAGTAATTCCTCTTCAGAAAAAAAGATAATTTTAACCCAGGGCTCCTTAACAGCTGCAAGTTGTCTTTTCCGTCTGTGAAGAGATAGGGAGGGCGGGATGCCTGCCAGATGTCACCCCTCCATGAGTGTCAGATAAAAGTGGGGAGCAGGGCCCTCACCGCACCCTTCGTGAGGGACAGACAGATGGCTCCGTGAGCAGGTGACTTGCAGTCCTCTGACGACGAGATCAGAGAAGGAGCCATCTCCCCTTCATCGACCCCAGAGCCTGGGCCCCATACTTGCTGGGACTGCAGGGGACATGTTTGCCTTGACTGTGTCAGAAGGTGCCCAGCTCAGAAGCGCTGTGTTGTGTAGGACAGTGAGGATGCCGGGAAACAGCAGGTTGGCATCCGTGTTTTGTAGGGTTTTTTTTCTTCACCTGAAAACGCCTGGAGAGGTCTCAGAGGCGGAGTGCTGCCACTGAGAGGTTCCTAGCACCTCCCAGCCACCTACTGCATTGTGGGCACACACACACATAACGATCTTTAATTTCAGAAAAGGCACGCAGTTCTCTGTGAAGTTTGATTCCCACCTGGTCTACACAGCAAGTTCCACTCCAGTGCAACTGGGGCCATCTAGTGAGGCCCTACCTGAAAATAGGAAAACTTAAAAATGGAAATGCCTGGAAGTTTTCAGAATAAGTCTCTGTGTCAAAAACTCAAAATGGGCACAAGCATTGATGTTTTAAAGGCTACTTCCCAGATGACCATTTAGCAGAATAAAAACAATTTCCTCCAGCCACGGGCTTTTGAACTGCATTACAGTACCTGATACGAAGTTCCCTTCCATGGATCATGTCTCAAAATCCAATCAGATGCACACTGGTAGGCACATCTTGCCCAGCAGGTTCATATTGCAGCATGCAAGGCCCAGCACTAGGTAAGACTATTGGTACTGGTTTCTCCTCCCATTCCCCCAGTGGCCCACACAGCCCCTTCCAGCATCAAACCAGCTGGATGTTTCCTGGTGGCTTGTGACTGATCTCTCTAGCTCCTGTAGCCTGTTGCCTGGTGTCTTTAGCAATAGGGTCTTGGCATGTAGTTATGACGGGTAAACCGCAGCGGCAACAGCCTGTGTGGTTTCGGAGACCTCTGGAGCAGCCCTGAATGGTAGCTTGTAGGGAGGTTTCGCCAGCCTTATGCTTCTCCCTGTAGACCTGGGCTGCTCTCAGTCTGGTCAGACACACAGAACCAGGTGAAGGGCTGAGAACAAGAGAGAAGTGCTCACCCCTAAACGGGGGAGTTGTGTCAACCCCAGCGCCAAGGCTCGGTTAACACCAGGGAAGAGTGACTGGAGATAAGTGCTCTGGAACACAGTCATGGCACACACGGCTACTTGCACAAGGCCTATGCAAGATCAAGCCAGCCGCAAGCCCAGCATGGGCGGGGCAGACAATATCCTGGCCCCCACCCTTTACGGAGGAGAGTCTGGCAGTGGACCATTGTTTGGGAGGAAGAGTTGTCTTTTAAGAGGTTTGTTATTTACATGTTTTAAGAGGTTTGTTGTTTATTTACATGTTTTAAGAGGTTTGTTATTTATTTACATGTATGTAGGTCTCCGTGTTTGCCACATGGGTGGGTGCCCACAGAAGCCAGAGAAATCATTTCCCCAAAAGCGGAGTTACACATGCTGTGACAAGCTACCTGATGTTACCATGGGAACCAAACTCAGGTCCCCTGGATGAACAAGTGCTTTTAGCCACTGAGTCATCCCCTTTTGAAGATGTGGTCACCAGTGGGCTTCCCATGCTCCCATGGAGGTCCACTGTATGGGCAGCGCTAACTGGACCAGTGAGTTATATCTAAAAGACATGAAGTTGGGAGGGACTGTGCGTTGGGAGAGACATTGTGGGGAGGATGGGAGAATAGATATAGTTGATTATATACAGGTATGGAATTATCAAAATTAAAAGTTACATAAGCCAGTGAAATAGAAGGCTCCAGAATGAAGCCGGGGAGGCTCTTGTCAAGCATCCTACAAGGGACTAGGAGGCCCACAAAACTCTCAGAAGAAACATTTATTCTAATTGCAGGGTGTATTGCTCTGAAAATATTTTAATTTTCTTAAACAAGGACTGGAAAGTTGGAAACGTTTCCTTCACATAAACAGAAACATGTTCTGTAGAAGAGTCAGGTCTCATAACGGTAGCTTTAGCAGATGCGAGGGCAGTGGGAGTCACATGACACGCCTTCATGAAAATAGGGTTTGAATGGGACTAGAGATCCCTGGACTCACAGGAAGGGAAATAACTCCAGAATTGGGGCTGCTGCCCAAACGATACATGATGTCTCTGCCCAGGACCAGGAGCGATGGCTGTCTGGGGACGGTAACAATTAGGTTTTCCTCCTCCATGTTGGGCATAGGAGGCCCCCTGGTTGGAAGGTTGTCTGTTGGTGGGCTCTGGCTGAGCCTGTAGGCAGTTCTTCTGGCTCCACTCCAAGAACCCCGATCTCTGCCTACACAACAGTTTATCCTCCAGGAGCTTCCCAAGGGTCGCCATGAGCTCATGGGCTTCGGGAGGCCCACAGCTCATAAAGAGAGCCCTGTCTTTCTCGGTTCTGCGTCTTGTGTTGTCCTTGCGGGAATAAAGCCACTGAAAAAGCTGTCCTATCTTTCTCCTGAAGTAACTCTCCGGAGGGTGTGACTTCTTGTCTGACTTTCCTGCAACAGGTTGGCTCCTCTTCTCTGACTTTGGGGTCTCACTTTTACCGTTGTCTGGTGAGGCCGGTCTTTTCTCAGCCGGTGCTAAGCTCCCTGCGTTATGCCCCAAGACTCCGGGCCATGGATCCAAACCGGTCCCTGTGTTGCACAGATGGGGATGGAAGTCCCTGAAAACGGAGACGTCCGTACTGGACGCGCTGTTGGAAGACGACAGCGAGAAACCAGCCACGCTGTCGGAGGCAAAGGACACGTCGCTCTCATAGCCTTCGGCCTGACTCTGTGACTGCTGCTCCAGCTTCAGCTTCAGCTCGTTAAACAGCTGCTTCTTAAAGTCCAACACTGCCTGCTCTTGGGGAAGCGACACCCTTGAGGGGTTGTGTGGTGTGGCTGCAGCAGAGGCTGGCTCACTCCCGACTTCACTCTGCCTCACGGGGCCTTCCCAGTTGCAGCCGGGACCCAACCCTGACAGGACGACGCTTACATCCCGAGCCCCGAGGAGCGTGTCGGGTGCTATCAGCACGGGTGCGGGGTGCTTTCCCACAATCTCTCTGCCTCCGGTGACAGCCAGGCGAGAAGGACTTGCCACCTCATTCTGCGACTTGGATTCAGCCACTAGCTCTTTTATGGGCTGCTCCTGCCAGGGTCTAATTTGTAGCTCAGCGTCATACTGGCTGGTGTTGTCATCGCTGCTGAGCCTGTCACCCTCGGTTGCCTGGGTCGTCTCTGTGACCTCATAACCATTGCCAGGGTGGGATTTCCCCAGGGGCCCCTCTCCTTCCCCATCAGCATGTGAGATGGTGAGGGGTAGGTGATCTATGATGGAATCTACATCTGCTGTTTCCATATTGTCTTTACGAGAAAGCTTAGAGTTTTCTCCGAGGGGACGGGGGAAACTACGTTTCAAATCTATCCCAGAAGATAAGGGGTGGTCAGGCTGAGGAAGGGGCCACGTTTTAGCTTCTCTCGACATATAGAATTTTATGGATTCAATAACTTTGATGGGGGGGCCCCACTTCTGGCTCACCCGGTACCTTATGAGATGGGCTTCCAGCATCTTCTGTGTCTTGTGATCAAGAAAAGGTATCGCAGGGACAGAAGTGTCGCAGTGAGTGCTTCCTGTTGGCGAGTTCTTCAGCATCTCATCCTCGGCGAGCCATGAGCAGCAGACCTTGATTGGGATCCGACCCATCGTGATCTGCCAGAGCTTCCTGCTCACATGCAACCTAAGAATGCTTCTTGTTTGCCTTTGGTCCAAGCTCTTCCTTGAGATGCCGTCTTGCTCATTTTCCAAGCCAACCCCCGAGGGGCATGCCCATTTTATCTCTGTCTCGGGTACAACCCTGAGACCCTTCAGTACGTAACATCCTGAGATCATCTGTGGGCTGCCAAACGGGCATTTCCCTAGGATTTGGCCGAGATTCTGGGCTACATCCTTATTCAGCTGAGGCTTCACCGAGGCCCTCTCACAGAAACTTCCCGAGCGACGCGGTTCTGCAGTCCTAAGGTCGCTGCAGCTCTGGTCCCAGTGTACGGTGCGTTGAGGGCGGGTGCATTTGCAGCTGTGGGGAGATGTTTCTGTTGGTTTGAACCGAGGGACCATCACTTCCAGGACTCCTGTCCTACCGGAGGCCTGGTGGTAGCACCAGGGTGGGATGGGGTTGTTTGGTCCATAGGGCTCCAGGTTGTCCTGAAGCTCACTGCCGAAATGAAAATGGCCAGTCCTGGGGGTGGAGACATAGTTCCGTGAAGGCTGGCTGACCAGGGGCAAGCTGGGAACCAGAAGGCCAAAGGGAGTTCCATATTGTTGCCATTCAGGGACCAGACTCCACAAACTATCCTGATGATTCTGCAACAAGTAGCCCTGAAGGTGCTCGTTTCCACCTAAGACTCCAGAGACGGTCCTGGTGTGCGGCCTTTGGAAAGTGCGTCCACGGGGTAGAGGCGGCGACCGCATGGGAGAGGGTGGACACCGCACGTGGGCCCGGGGGAAAGGGAGAGTCTGCGGCTGCGGCCTTGCGCCGCGGGGAAAAGGCTGAGGCCCCGCGAAGCTGAGGGGTAAGGTGTGGGGCTGGGGAAGGGCGGCAGAGCCATGGCCCAACCCTGGGGCCGCGACGGCTCTACAGACCCCGTTGAAGAGCACAAGGTGAGGCTCGAGGGGGTAGCTGTTGAGGGGCAGCACCAGGAGCGTGGCCACAATGGACTCGCTGTGCAAGGAGGGGAGACCCCAGAAGAGCTGACTGCGCTTCTGCCCCAAGTCTCCCCCGAGAATCGTCATACGCAGGAGTTTTTCAGAAATCCCAAGCTTCCCCAGTTTCCCTTTGAGATTCCAGTTGGCTTGGGGGGCTGGGGCGTCCTGATCAGTGGCGGAGGAGCCCAGGAAGTCCCAGGGTGCTGGGAGTTGACACTCTGACCCCTTGGGCTCTGGGAATATGCCTTCATCCTTTGTGTTCTTCTCCAGAGCCTGGCAAGTCATTGTCTTTTTCATTTGGCTCCTTGAGTTCCTGTATGTGAAGAACAAGAGGTACGGGCTTGTTCCCGGTTTGCAAGGCTCCATACACCCTACCCCGGGGCAACAGGGAAGCTGTCTGCTAACAGCCTGCAGGGCAGCAATCTCAAGCGGCGGCTGCAGCGGTGTGTTCTGGTGGGGACTGGGAACCCTGGGAACCGTTGCGTTTGAACAGGAAGAAGAGACCAGCTCCCTACTGGAGACAAAGTAGTCTGGTCCGAATAACAGGGTCATCTTTTCTGCCGTGTGAAGCATTTCCCAGCGAGGGGAGAGGGAGGGTGTGCGGTTGCCGGGGTAGGGCATGCTCACTGGAAATCTCAAATCCAAGGGAAGGAGGGTGCCCTGGCGTCAGACAGCTACCCGGTGGTGAGACTGGAAGCTGGCTCCCCTGAGGGGGTGACCTGGTTAGGTGACAGGATGGAGGGTTAGGGGTTAGGGTTAGGAGAAAGTGGGAAAAGGCTCCCACAGAGGGGTTAGCGCTGGAGTTCCAAGAGGGGCTGGTGAGGTTGGGAACAGTCACAAGAGCTAAGCCAGCCAGAGGGACCAGAAGATGGGGCAGTGTGTGCTGGCGTCGGTAGGCACAGCGGGTGGCTGACCTCAGCAGGACACCGTAGTTACTGTTAGGTAGCGGCTGCCGTGATGCCCACCCATGGGTCTTCAAATAGCAAGGCGCAAGCTGCTAAGGTGGGATTGCCTGATGCCTGCCACGGTCTGTCACATCTCTGACCTAAAGAGACCACGCTTCTACAGAGTTCACTTGTGTTTCCCAGTGACTGTCCCTCCCAGGACTAGGACCCGGCTGCCCTGAGCCTCCATGGTGCACTGCCACGTTACAAAGGGAAAAAGGATTTTTAAAAATTACTTAAATTACCTTCCAGAACGGACAACCTCTTCCCTCTTCCCCCCTTCTCTCTGGAGAGTTCTCCAATCTGGAAAACAAAAGCAGTAGTTCACATGTAACTGTGACTATAAATCTCAATTGCTGCTTTGGTGGGATTGACAACATCCCCGAGCATGTCTGGGAGGCGCTTTCTGGACTAGCTTAATGACATTGGAAGGCCCACATTAAATGGCAGCATTGGCCGGTGGGCTGGGGTCCTGAACTGCATATAGTGGCTACAGTAAAGCCAACTGCCCTCATGTATCACTGCTTCCTGACTGCTAACGTGCTGCTGAATATTTGATTGCACTGTGATGCTACAAGGCTGTGTTAATAAAATTAACTTTGTGTGTGGGGGGGGCCCAAGGAGCAGAGCCAGTGACTAGTTGACAAGAATTAGCCATAGAGAGGAAGGAGGACACGGGAAGACATAGCAAGACCACACAGAGGAGAAGGAAGGGACTTAGAGGTTCACAGTCTTTTCGGTTTGGGACAGTGTGGAGAGAGACTCTCTCTTGCGGGGCTTCTGGTCAAAAAGGAAGGCCAGGTGGCTGCTTCTCAGTCTGTCTGATCTAGGTTTTCACCCCAACACCTGACTCCTGAGGCTTTACTGGTAACTAGAACAACTTAGACTAAAAACAACACAGATGCAGTTAAGCCGTCTGGAGCCCCTGCCGCCACGGTTTCCCTGCCAGGAAGAGAGTGTACCCTTGGCCGACAAACCAAAGCAAAGGCTTTTCCTCCACGTCTGAGATGTAAGGATTCTTCAGGAGTCCTTCCATGGGAAACCCGAGCTGTCTGAGTTCTCAGGGACAAAGCACTTGGCGTGGTGCCAGGAGGCAGAAACCGTGATTCCATACAACAGACAGGCCTTTTTAATCTTCCCCTGGCCAGAAGGGAGAAGGAAGGACCCAGGTCCATCATACCAACTTCACACCAGTTTCTGTCTTAGTTCCTTTCCTGTGGCCAGGATAAAATTCCATGACCAAAGCAACTTACATGAGACTGTATTTCTGGGTTTACAGTTCCAGAGGGTCAAGAGCCCACTGCAGCAAGAATCCTGGGGGGCGGGAACAGCTGAGGACTCATGTTTGGAGCCTCTAGCTGGACGCAGAGGGAGTAAACTTGACAGGAGTCTTTGCGCTCTCACAACCTGCGCCCCTCCCAATGAGCCACACCCCGCAAGCCTCCCAAACAGTGCCACCTCCTGGGGACCAAGCCTTCAAATGCCTGCGACTATGGACTGGGGGGGGGCACATTCCCAGACCCAGGGCTCTGAGGAGTGCTCGGGCGTGAATGTGCAAGCGTTTTCTCTGAAAGCTCTTTCCTGAGAGGAACTGTGTTCTATCTAGCAAATGGCAGATCGTGGGCCCAGAATCTCACGGGAGAGCAGGAGGGGGCGGCTGGTTCAGGTGGAACCTTGGCTTTAAATGTCACCGTCTTCTCTTGGTTCTGCTCTGATACTAACAACAGAAGAATGTGGGTAGCAGTAACTTTTTTTTTAAAGGCTTAATTTAGAAGGTAGCCTTAACTTTCGCTGCTTCTCTTGGGCGTCTGTTATTCAAGAACACTGACCAAGAGTCTCATGCTCTATCGACTGAGCTAGCCGGGTGCTCTGAATACTGACTTCAAATAACAGTTTTCCTTCCACTACTAACTCCGAAAGACAGTTGTTTTCCAATTGCCCTTTGCTGGGGAGAGTAAAGGAGTTTGTGAGGTCCATAGTTCATGCTCTGAGCGCGAGTCCTCTACTCCAGGCATAGACTCAGGCTGGCAGCCACAGCTCAGCACCTCTAAGGCCCCATGTCTTGGGGACAAAGCTCAGGCTCCAGGTGTTGCTCGGCCGGGGGCCTCTCCTGCAGGGCCAGCTTGGGAAGGGCCTGCTGAAGGGCAATGAGAGGTGGGGGCAGGGCAGGCTAAATGACAGGAGACCCTGCTTTTCGGAGTGTCTGGAAAGAAGTCCGAGAGACCCAGCGTTAGTGCTCCGCCCTGGATCGTGGAACTTGCAGTGACGCCCAGAGAGGTCGGCTGTGGGTCCAGATGAAAACCTTGGTCCTCTTTGAATCCCTGCCCTGCCAGACCTCATGCCCTAGGGCAGCAGTGCTCTCCTCTCTCCTCAGAAACTGCCCCCCCCCCATTCAGATATCTCTCTGGGACTCTTTAAATTCATCCAATGATGTGAGCATAGAAATGGGATCACCGGCAGGGTGGTGGTGGTGCACGCCTTTAATCCCAGCACTCGGGAGGCAGAGGCAGGCGGATCTCTGTGAGTTCGAGGCCGGGCTGGACCGATAGCCTTCAAAACAATACAGAGAAACCCTGTCTCGTAAAAACCAAAAAAAAAAAAAGAAACGGGCTCACCGTACTGCCTCACCTCTCTGAGGTCTTGGCCTGTCCACGGTGGAAGAAAACGAAGTCCAGTATCAGGTACAACAGGCACGGGAGAAGCAGCCCCTGCAGTCAGGAAGGCGCCGTGGATGGGCGTCCAAGAGCACCGAGCCAAAGCCCAACAACCGTCCTCCTTCAGTAGCGGTATTCAGAAAGGGCAGAACCTTCTCCATAGTGTGACCCTCACAGCTGCTCAGGCAGCTGTGATGTGAGGCCGTTTGGGGCTCCCTGTAGGCCCAGGGTCTGCATCACAGAGCAGGGAAGAGTCATAGAGGGTTTGTGAGGTGGGGAGGAGGGTGAGCCCCAACTCCTCCCTCCCCCCGCTAAGTCCCAGCAGGGCCCTCTGCCCAAGCCTGTGGCTTTTCTCGCTTCACGTGCCCCATGGACCTTTCTGTCTGTCTGTCTGTCCCCACTGCGACCAGGACTTCTCATGTCCCCTTTTGATTCTGCAGCTCTCAATTCCAGCCGACCTGGAATCCCTACTTTGGGCTGGAGCTTTAGTCTCAATGGCACAAATGTATTCCAGAACATCTTATCTATGGAATTGCTTTCTTTTCACTCAGATTAGGGAGAAAATTTCTCTTGTACTTGCTTTTATAAACGATGGCTAGAACATTTTCATGTTCCAGCCAGAGGGCCTTAACATCTTTCATCGGGGTTAGGCTCAGATCACCAAATGCAGAGGAATATAAAAATACACTATACTAAATGCATACAATTATGTCTCCCAGCATTCTTGGGTATGGTTTTATTCCATTTATTTTTCTGAAACTAGGGAAGCTTCAAGTGGACCAAGACTTTTAAGATGCTCGCGTGCGCGTGCACACACACACACAGGGCATGCACCTGTGCACACATGCGTGTGCACACACATGTGTGCGCGCCTGTGCACACGCACTTATTCTCACAAATCAGTGCGCTGCTCTCATGTCTGAGAACTCAGTCTTCCCTTCTTTCGTGTCGCCTACATCGTTATTTTGACCCTGACATCTCCCAACTCTACCTACAGAATACACTTTCCCCGGCCATGTCAGCAGCTGCATCGGAGGTCCAGGGTTCACTTAGACGGGGCTGATTGACAATAGGCCTTGGGGGTGAGTCCCCAAGTCCCTGGTGACAGAGTGTGACCCAGGATTGTCAAATCCAGGGAAGAACATGGGTTGAGGACTCTCACTGATTACTCGCTATAATCACCTGGTGATGTTTTTTTTTTTTTGGTTTTTCGAGACAGGGTTTCTCTGTATTGTTTCGGAGGCTATCGGTCCAGCCCGGCCTCGAACTCACAGAGATCCGCCTGCCTCTGCCTTCCGAGTGCTGGGATTAAAGGCGTGAGCCACCACCGCCCGGCTCACCTGGTGATGTTAAAAAGTGATGTTAAAAAGTGATGTTAAAAAGTTTCTTCGTGGCTGGGTCTGTACTGGCTGGTTCTGTGTGACACAGCCAGAGTCATCAGAGGAAGGAGCCTCCGCTGGGGAAATGCCTCCCAGAGATGCAGCTCCGTGAGAACAGCAATGTGAGACTGTGAGCCCAATAAACTCTTCCCTCCCAAGTTGCTTTCTGGTCACTGTTTTGTGGAAGCAATAGAAATCCTAAGACAGAAGTTGGAACCGGAAGTGGGGTGTTGCGATGACAGATCATCTGACCATGTTTTGGGGAGGACCGTGGGGGGATTTTGGAACCTGGGGCTAGAAAAGACATTGAGTGTTGAGACCTCAGTAGGACGTCCTGTGGGAGCTTGGAAGACAAGAATGTTGAGAGCAGTGTGGAGGACGGAGGCTTGGCTTGTGAAGGTTCAGAGGGAAGATTAAACACAAGGGCTGTGTGCTATTTTGACTTAGGATTCTGGGGTTCTGGTTAGCTGGAGCCGAAGAATCATCTGTGACAAACAAGAAGTGAAGACTCAGCCGGGCGTTGGTGGCGCACGCCTTTAATCCCAGCACTCGGGAGGCAGAGGCAGGTGGATCTCTGTGAGCTGGAGGCCAGCCTGGTCTACAGGAGCTAGTTCCAGGACAGCCTCCAAAGCCACAGAGAAACCCCATCTCGGAAAACAAAAACAAAAACAAACAAACAAAAAACAAGTGAAGACTTCACGTGACAGGGCAGTTGATGCTGGCTGGCTGACTGGAGCTAAGACATTAGCAGTGATTGAGACCAGTATCGCTGAGGTGAAATCTTCTGAGAAGTGTTTCCTGAGAGCACAGAAGATGTGTTTCAGAGGCAGCCATGGTTGTAACTTGTGTTGGAACCAGGAGTTGGTAATGTGTATGATTCACCCAGGAGGTGGTGGTTTTGAAGGTATGAAGGGGTCATGGAGAGCAGCTGAGGCTTGGCACTGTGAGGGGTCAGGAGAGGCTACTGGTGAAGGTGCAGCCTCAGTGGCAGTTGAAGGCCCAGGACTGAAGGAGTCACGCAGAGACGCTGAGGCCTGGCCCCATGAGGAGAGTCTAGGGGGGGTCTATTGGTGAAGTGCAGCCCAGTTGCCCCAGACGACCCCAGCAGCCTGGAGACGCCAGGACTAGGGGACGACCACCAAGAACAGCAGCGGCAGTGGAGTGGAGCCAGGGGAGCCTAGAAGACAGCTGTGTGTGCTGCAGAGGGCGGGGCCGGAGACGCCACCCAAAGTCCTTTGGAGGGGTCGAGAAGATCATAAATGAGTCACAGATAATTGGACATTGAGTTATTTATATTGCTGATGTTTGGTTTTGCTTGGTTCAGATTGTGACGGGGCCCTGGGACTTCCCTCTTGAAGAAGGTACTTAATTTAATTTTGATTTTTAAAAGAGCCCACAGATGAAAGACTTGAGCTTAAAACAGATTGGATTTTTGTGTGTGTGTGTGTGTGGTTTTTCTAGATAGGGTTTCTCTGTGACTTTGGAGGTTATCCTGGAACTCGCTCTTGTAGACCAGGCTGGTCTCAAACTCACAGAGATCCACCTGCCTCTGCCTCGCGAGTGCTGGGATTAAAGGTGTGTGCCATCACCACCTGGTGAGATTGAATATTTTAAACAGATTGAAATTTAAATATGTTTGAGTTTGTAAAGACTGTGGAACTTTTAAAATTACTTATGATTTTAATGTGAGATCTTGGGGATGAATAAGTGAGGAAGGGTTACGGCTTAATAGTAATTAATGTGTTTGGGGCATTGGTGGCGCACGCCTTTAGTCCCAGCACTCGGGAGGCAGAGGCAGGCGGATCTCTGTGAGTTCGAGGCCAGCCTGGTCTACAGAGCGAGTTCTAGGATAACTACCAAAGCAATACAGAGAAACCCTGTCTGGAAAAAACAAAAACAAAAAAATAGTGATGTGTTGTATGTCAGGTTGAAAAGGGGTCAGTTGTACTGGCTGGTTTTATGTAGCCTCAGTTAAGGAAATGCCTCCATGAATGCAGCTGTAAAGCATTTTCTCAATTAGTGATTGTAGTAGTTTGAATGTGATTGGCCCCCATAATCTTACAGGCGTGACACTATTAGGAGGTGTGGCTTTGTTGGAGTGGGTGTGGCCTTGTTGGAGGAAGTGTGTCACTGTGGAGGCGGGCTTTGAGGTTTGCTGTGCTCAGTGTGTCAGTGGACTTCCTGTTTCCTAAACAATGTAGAACTCTCAGCTAACCCTCCAGCCCCACATCTGCCTGCACACCGCCATGCTCCCTGTCGTGATAATGGACTGAACCTCTGAAACTGTGAGGCCAACCACTTAAATGTTTTCCTTATAAGAGTTGCTGTGCTGGGCGTTGGTGGCGCACGCCTTTAGTCCCAGCACCTGGGAGGCAGAGGCAGGCGGGTCTCCGTGAGTTTGAGGCCAGCCTTGTCTACAGAGCTAGTTCTAGGGCAGCTAGGACTGTTACCCTATCTTGAAAAACCGAAAACCAAATACAAATAATAATAATTAAAAAAAAAGATTTGCCATGGTCATGGTGTCTCTTCACAGCAGTGGAAACCCTAACAAGGACAGTGATCAATAGCTTTTTGTTTCCCGGGGAACCAAAGGCACAACCTCTCCCCCAAAGCAGCACATTTCCTGACTTCCATTCCAAAGCTAAATCACCCTTAAAATACATAGGTTGGTTTAATGCAGCTTTTTTTTTTTTTTTGGTTTTTACGAGACAGGGTTTCTCTGTATTGTTTTGGAGGCTGTCGGTCCAGCCTGGCCTCAAACTCACAGAGATCCGCCTGCCTCTGCCTCCCGAGTGCTGGGATTAAAGGCGTGAGCCACCACCGCCCGGCCAACGCAGCCGTTTTTTCCCATACAATCCAGTATCTCTCAGCAGCCGCTGATTTTTTTTGTGAGTTAGCATTTAAAAGTTGCAAGCACCATATAGGGCCCAAGCTCTCTGTGTTTTCCCCATCCTTATGTGGCTTATTCTTTTTATATTTCTTTACTCTCAAGAACCTGAAATACAAGTGTCACTTTCTGTGGTGGTTTGAGGCTGGCCCCCACAGGCTAATAGATCTGCATGTTTAGTCCCCAGTTAGCTCTCAGGGAAGGCCTGGAGGTGTGGCCTGTGGGCGTGGGTGTGGCCTGTGGGTGTAGGTGTAGCCTTTTGTTGGTAGAGGTGTGGCCACTTTGGAGATATGGCTTAGTCCTAGGGGATGTGTCCCTGGGGGTGGGCTTTGAGGTTTCAAAAGCCCACACTAGGCCCAGTCTCTCCCTCTCTCTGTCAGGATGTAGCTCTGCTACTTCTCCTTCATCACCCCTGCCTGCCACCGCGTTGATGATAGACTCACCCTCGGAAACCGTAAGAAAATCCCTGATTTAATGTTTTCTTTTATGAGTTGCCTTGGTCATCATGCCTCCTCACAACAACAGAACAGTGACCAAGACACTACTTCACGGCCACCCGCTCCGTGTGCCTTGCCAGAAGCTGAGCATACTCCCTCCCCAAGGATGCTTGCACAGTTCGAGCAAAAGCAGACCGTGGAACCAGCTGTGCTTGGCCTGTGTGTGTCCCCACAGAAAACATAAACTCACCGGCTCCCTGCCGCTCCTCACCACAGCAAGTCTTTCACTCCTCAGGTAATGACTTCCTCCTCTCACACGCTTCCTATATAATAAGGGCAGCCTAGACACTTTCCTAATTGAATAGATCAATGAGTAACCAGTTTCAGTGCAATGGATGCCTCCGGGAAGCTGCACTATGGTGTTGAGAAACAT